CATCCTCATCTGACTCAGTTTCCTTCTCTGCATCTATCGCCTTCTTTATCTGCCCTGGTGTCTGGTCTGTAGTATCTGCTTTCAGCTGATTACCCACAGGCTCAGCACACATGTCTGACTCTGATTGCTTCTTCTCTGCTTCTGACATTGCATTCCTGCCTTGGAGCTGATTTCCTGGTTTTAAAGAAAAGCAGGCACATGTGATCAGAGTTTCCATGCACAATTGTAGTACCAGACAGCTGAACTGAGTGGCAATAAACATTGCCAATGGCTGCAAAAACGATCACAGGCGATGGTCTGCAATTGACTGCATTCAGAAACACAGCACTGCTACAAATCAATGCACAAGTTTCACTACTGACTCAGCAATTTGGTGAACATGCCTGGAATGATTCAGAGGGTAGCCCAGGGACGTCAAGGGTTTTACTCGATGTTGGGGTCATATTCCACCTCATCATTTTACCCACCCAGAACAACTGAAAAGAGGGAAACAGCTCAGATTTTATCACGGTTCGTTGATGACTGACGTGATGCTAATCAGCACTTCACTTTTACAGAATCCACCACATAGGAACCACAGGGAGGAAACTTACGCGGCGCCCACCAGTGCGTGAGCCCGTGTCAGCGCGCGACGTGGTGCCCAAGATTTTCACGGCATATAATTGAATGCAATGCGTCATATTTGTAGACACATGGTGTATCCATATTAAAGGGGATTAGCGTCTTTCACCGCGATTTTCGAGGAAGGCCTCTGAGGCCAGGACTGCTCAGAATTCTCCCTGGGTCTTCCTGACTTCAGATAAGTAAACGGGACTTTCATGGGCGGGGGGGGGGGGGGGGGGGGTGGCGGGTAAAACGCCGATTACTCTCCGAGATCCTGCGAAATTGGATCAAAGTCCTGCTAAATTGCTAAATATATTGTAAACTGTGGACCCTTGGCTGATGGAGAGGGAGGCATGGCCATAGGCGGAGGAACGTTTCAAAAAGTGGGGGGATGGGCAAGCTCAAGGCGTGCTTCACGAACTTTTTCTGGAAAGCAAGTCCGGTGACCGAGGGGGGTTAGAGATGGAGGTTGTTGCCGTTTTTTATTCAAATGCCATGGCTGTTTGGCTAGATTTGCACCTGGAGCTGTTTCTCACTGGTGCATAATCTTGCTTGCTTAACTCGTCTACGTCGTTCGGTAAATGAGGCCGTCCAGCTTCCCAGAACTATTCGTCCATTTCAACACTGGCTTTTCTGGGGAGGCGAAATTCCACCCGCGGGTAGGCATTTTGGGTCATTGAGGAGGCATCTGCCTCCACAGGGTAAATACCAAAATACAGCTTGGACATAGGTTGGTGAAAATTTTAAAAGCGAATCGATGGCTCACAGTGCGACAAATATTTTATGCGCCTTCATTTCGCTGGATGATTTTCAAAAGATGAGACTGATCGCAGCGTTTTAGACGGAAACAAAGTCGGAGCTTGAAACTGCCAAAAGCAGTGTGGCAGAAGTGAAGCAACTGGAAATTCTCATTCAAAAACCAAGCCACAGAATGAAGACACTTCTGTCATATATTCTTTACTTGGGCCCTGCTACCGTCCGCCGTCGGCGGCAACTGCCCTGGGCCGGCTGTCTCCCGCATAACTGACCGCGAACTGATCGTATGGGTGCTTTGCTGCATATTTCTGGATCAACATTATTACTAATTGGTCTTTTAGACACATGTAAAACACCTGCAACAGTATCTCTTTCCGAATTATTTTCCCTTACACCCCACCATTGCAGAAAACCCTACGGGAAGCTGCCTGCCGTAGGTATGAATTGGCCCAACGGACATTTTATTGCCCATCATTCAACGTAAATGACTTGACCTTCTTTTGCATGAAGGCAGTGGCGTGGCCAGAGCCTTGCCAAGGATGAACACGGTGCTGAAAAAAGCCCTTCCTATGGTGATCTCCCCCCTCTAAAAGATTCACGGATGTAGCTTACTTGTTAACAAGGGATACGGTTTTCTTCCCATTATTGCCATTTTTACTTTGCAACCAGGAAAGAAAACAGAAACTACTGTGAGATCAATTCTGTTTGTATTTTCAAGTCAATAAACTGCAAAAATCAGGTGTTGAACAACCGCATGAAATACATCACCGGCGCCTTGAATTTACAATGGCTTTTTGAACTCCTAAAACGATAGAAGTTAGAAACTTAAAATTTGTATCTGGGTTCTACAAACACTAAGGCCATTGCGAAGGTACGTGATAGATCGTTAGTTTAATCGAAATTTAAAGATGAAAATTTGATTGTAGGTCGAATGGTCAACAATGTCTATTAACATGACCAAGCCATGTGTAGCTGCAAATGTTCAACATCCAGTCAGAATCGATTAGTGATAGGATTTATGTAACGTGGTTTTTTGCTCGCAAATCGTAACAATAAAAGCCTCTACTCCAGGCGTCGCAATCTCCATAGTCCATGGAGCTTTAGTCAAGTGGCTAACTTTTCAGCCGCTGCCCATCGGTGGACGAAAATGATGACACTTCTGAACTTATTACCTCAAGACACTTGCATCTATTAGGGATACAAGTTATGTGACATAATTTTGAGCATGCGCGCGCGCAAATCTCAACAAGAAAAACCTTGACGCCAGCCGTTGCAGTCTCCCGAGGCCGCACGGCGTCGGCACAACAGCCAATACTAAGCCGTGGCCAACGGGTGTCCGAAAATGATGACGCTTCTGAAAGTAGCACCTTTGAACGCTTCAGGACATCAAATCTTACATTTACAATACAGTCTGGGCGCGTATTTCATGAGCGCGATTTTCAGACATGATAACAACGGACTGGCCCTTAAAGCACCACAAAGTGATGCTGGAATCTGGTGGGGGAATTGGAAAAGTAAAACTTAGAATCTCTACTTTCCGTGTTTCTGTAAATATTTATCTGTCCAGGGGGCAGATTACCGCGGTGCCCGCTGTCTGGTGACACTTGCAGTGCCCGATATCGTTCGGTTTTATGGAAGCTGCAACCCAGGCCATCGCTGTCCTTGCACTCGAAGTTGGGGCGGGCATGTCCAACCATGCCGATGTAATTTGTTTTACTAATCCATTCTGAAAAATGAACGTTCTCATGCGTGCAAACGTGCGATGGCCTTGTTCGTTTTTTAAGCTCATTTAAACCCCCTATTCAGCATTAATGAGGCTACCACTCCACTCGACAATATTGAGACCCCTTATCACCTTACAGGCAGGAGCCCCTTGACTGCAACACCCGGGACACGTTAACGTTTCAGGTCAAGGGCTGAAGGACCATTCCGTCCCATCGCAAAGTTTCTTTTGGCTGTCATTCTGGCGACACGACGCGGTATTTCCTGATCGATCTGGAGGCCATTGGAAGGACATACCGTAACAAATTCTTTCCTTCCCTGATACGGGAGGCCTTCTGACCCGCGCAGTTGGCCCTGGATCAGTACAGAAGCCCTCACTGACGCAACAACATCCGTGATCGCCGAAGGTGGTCCAATAATTGTCACATAGGCTCTAGTTCCATGTTTTGTTGTGTTCTTCGGCGATATTGAACACTCCCTGAGCGTAGATTGTAGATGAAATGGGGTCCCAAATTTGTATTAGCCTAGCTAGTTCATGCTTGTCTTAAAATGTTTAAGATTCAGTCAGAACTGATTACTGATAAAAGCTATATAGCATGGTTTGAACATGCGCGCTCGCAAGACAGCAACAAGTCTCGATATCCGGCGTTGCAGTCTCCATAGCCCGCGCAGCGTCAGCCCTGCGGCTGTAACACTAAGTGGTGACTAATGAGCAACCGATGATGACAAGACGGCGCATCTTGAGGAAGATGGCTGATGAACTGGGTAAATCGGCACATCTGTTAGATGTAGTACAAAAGTAAGCCAAACACAGCCTTAATCTGAAAAGTGTGTGGGAGGGGGGGGGGGAGGGGGCAGTAACACTGCTGGCTCCCACCTTGAAAAGTGTGGGGGGGGGGGCATGGCCACTCTGCCCCCCCCCCACCCTGTTCCTACGCCCATGCGCGTAGCCACCTTAGCCCCTTCCCCTCCTTGCCTACGTTCCTGATGGACTAACAGGCTTTCTGATATGAGCATGATCGCTGGATAGCCCATTAGTGGATGACGCATCAGTGCGTCGTACTCTTCCGATTATCTGAGCTCACGCACGGCACCAACCGATGCGACGCCCACGTGAACGGATGATCTGCGTGAGGGAACGAAACCTGCTTTGGGATCAACACCGTTAAAAATAGGATTGCGACCCCGCTAGGGTCGGGGAGGGCAATACGTTCCTGGACAACCTTACGACGCCGCTGCCGTAACTAGCGCCATCACGCTCCACACCTGAGCGACACCAGGTATGCCCAACATTACTTCCATACAAGCCAAGTGACCGTGCATTGGCAATGTCACATTGCCGGGCCTCAGACCAATGACGTACGAGCTGTTTGAGCCCACAACTTTAACGCGAGCCGTCATTGTGCGGTCTCATGCCGACGCAGGGCGCCTTTGACGCCGCGGGTGCCGGCCCGTCCCTATGACGGCAGCCAGTGGCCGCGTCCAGACGGAGCCCAGCCAGTCTGCCCATTCTCGGGCCGGCGGCGACGACCGAACCACGGCCAGGTCAGCGTGCTGTCCACGTACCCGTTCGCGGAGCCGGCCGGCGCGTGGGCAGACCCTGCTCGCCAGGGGTCCGTCTCACTCCACCGGCGTGGTAACGACTGCCACCTGACCCCCACCAGCGAGGCCGCGTGGTGCCGATGCGGGATGAAGCTGGTCGAGAGTAAGCCATTTGATAACGGGTGCTCAAGCCACGTGTAGACTACCTTTTAATGTGCGGAATCAAAGCTGTTTGGGCGAAACATTAACGGACCATAATTAAAATCAGGTATCGGTGTTTACGTCATCACTGTCAGCGTTTTTATTTTTTTTGGTATCATATCCTCCGTACCCAGCTCTCGGCCGGGCAGAGATAGAGCCGCGCACAACACAGCGAATACATAAGAGTGTATTCAACACACGTGAAAGAAGCATCCTGACGTCCGAGCGCCAGACAGTGACGGCCAGAGAGCCAGCGCTGCCGGTTGGGCCTCACGACCACCACCGGCTCCACTTGCTCGATGCGGAGGAATGGCTCAGGATGGGTGCGCGTCAGCCGGATATTCCAGTATGACGTCACACGAAGACGCGGAAGGATGCGGAGGAATGGCTCAGGATGGGTGCGCGTCAGCCGGATATTCCAGTCTGACGTCACATGAAGACGCGGTAGGAACGAGGGGGGTCTGAAACGAGCACAACGGACTCTTGCACAACAGAGCATAATGCCTCCGGCGTCTGTGATTAAAGTAATGTGACGACATTAATACCTATTACGGGAAAAGGGGCGATACATTTCCGCCAAACGCAAATTTTATATTGGAGACCAGAGAAATGTGACAATAAATATGCAATGCAAGCGACAGCATACAAGATATGACATCACAGTTCATCACACAATTATCTTGCATCATTCACGCTCACACAGTATAAGCATGGTACATACATTTTACACGCTTCCACCCCGGACCGTATCAGAAAAGCATTATTTTTCACTAAAATGTGTACAGCGCAGGTACCGGACAAGCTGACTTAACACATTTCTGAAAAGCATGTACTTAAACTACTTGCAATGATCATATTAGCATTAATTGCCTATGGGCGCCGATACATGGAATCACCTTTAAGACATAAGCCGGAACAATACGAGGGTAGTGTGGCGCCGACAGCAGGGCCAGACCTCAGCCAGCACACGTCTGTGTGGCGGCTGGGCCCCCGGGTCAGGGCCGAGGCGTACCTGGACTGCACTGGTCCGGCCACAGCTGCGTCGGAACAAGGGGGTAGACGGTGTACGGACGGTGTGACCGGGGCCACGTCCCGGAGTGACCTGGTCACACCGCTCAGGGGGGGCGCGCTCGTCCTGCTCCCTGGCGGCAGTGGTACGGGCCGGCCCTGCCGCCGCACGGCAGCGATGCGGTCTGGCCGTCACCGCACAGCAGCGGTGCGGTCTGGTCGTCACCGCACGGCAGCGGTGCGGTCTGGCCCTGTCACCGCAGAGCAACAGTGAAGTCCGCCCTGCTCTGTTGGGTAGCGACACAGAGCACGACCGACAGACTCTCCATGAAACGGCAGCGGCCGGACCTACTCCCTGTCGGGCGGCGGCGGTGCTGGCACCTGCAGCTGGGTGGGCCGGGGCCGCAGACAGGCCAGCAGTCGGTCGCCGGAGCCGCCGGTGATGAGCAGGGCACCGTACCCGGTCACCAGCGTCAGCACAACGGCCGGCACTACTGTCGCCGCGTACAGCTGGCTGGCGTTCAGCAACGTCTGCCCGGCACACAGCAACCGCGCAGCGTCACAGTCCGGCACACAGCGGCCCTACGGCGTCACGGTACAGCACACAGCGGCTCTGCGACGTCACGGTACGGCACACAGCGGCCCTACGGTGTCACGGTCCGGCACACAGCAGCCCTACGGCGTCAGAGCACGGCACACAGCGGCCGTGCGGCATCACAGGGCGGCACACAGCAGCCCTATGGCGTCACAGCATGGCACACAGCAGCCCTACGGCGTCACCGTACCACACAGCGGCCGTGCGGCGCGACGGTCCGGCACACAGCAGTCGTACGGCGTTACGGCACGACATATAGCAGACTGGTGACATGACCAATGATGTGAATGAAGGTCAATGTTGATAAAAGCAAAATGCAGAGACTGCAAACCCATACAGCTGGTGGGAACAATTATAAACATATAAAAGGTGCAACAAACTTCAGTCTCAACCATATCAGATGCACCAAGAAACATAGTGTTAGAGAAAAATACCATGCAGGAAAGCCTACTAATGAAAACTGATATCAAACCATGCTCTAACCACCATGACATCAATCTTATCACAATTTCATCAATCTCACCACAATGGCAATAAGTTCCTCTCCTGGGTTGCAGTAAACCCCTAGCACCAGCAAAGCAAACATCATTGGCCACCACAAAAACTCAATCACTCCTGTGCATTACAGGAAACATCTGTTACCATCTCACCAGCGAAGAAAGGGCGAGATGAGAGACGAGCACGAACGCCAGCTGCAGGTACTGGCGACGGTCGAGCGCGCTGAAGGAGATGACGCCCCAGAAGGTGTGGAGCAGGATAAAGCAGAGGGTGAGCACGGCCGAGACGAGGAAAAAGAAGGACGAGTGGCCGCGCAGCCCCATTGTGCCTGGTCCGACAGCGTCCGCCAGCACGTTCACCAGCGAGAAGGCGCCCGACATCATGCCGAATCCAAGCCCACACACTGAAAATGCCAACCGAGGAAGTAAGCACGCGAAAAAGTGAAGTGGTCCACCATCTAGCAAGAGCTTTGGCCAGACTTGATGAAATCAGCCCACCCTTTACATGGCTGGCCTGAAGACGACCGTCACCGTTTTTTAGGTTAAAAGTGGGTGATGAGGAAGTGTACTTAGGCTCTGTGTGTTCTACTCCAAATGCAAGGTCTGTCTGCTAAAATTCCTCAACAACAGTACATATTTCCATCTTTAGGGCCAAATTCACAGAATTATTCAATATGATGGTCTCCCACCACTATCTTGTATCTCTGTTTCATCACATCATATAGCATTGTCCATAAAAAATAAATTTCCCACGTGCCTGCTTGGGAAGCCTCATGCACTCTTCATGACCACCATTCCCAACATCTTAACTCACCATATGCCATGATGTGTGGATTGGTGACCACCTGGTCATTGTCTGTGACTTTCTTCAGACCATTTTCAGCCAAGCGCAGCAACTTGTAGAGCAGAAACCTGCAGATCACAAATGAGATAAATGGATCAATGACAATGACAGCCATTTGAAGCAGTACAACCCACCCACAGTGCGGCTGCCATACACACATAGTCACCTGGCATCAAGGAATAGCATCACCCAGCACAATGACCGTGCTTTGACAATGTAAATCAAAATGCAGGCAACAGCATGGACAAGTAATAAAATTATGAGAGTGCTTTAATTCAAACACATTCTTATTGTTCACATACACAAATTAAGTGCACCCAAAGCCTGAAAGCCTCACATTGTTTAGCACTTTGACTTGCCTGAAGAGCTCCTGCAAGAGAACGGAGAAGACCATGCCAAATGCCAGGTCACTTCTGAGTGGCACAACCGCGAACCAGATGAGTGATGAGAAGAGTAGTGACAGCAGCCAGAAAAAGGCACTGTAAAGACACCAGGTCAACAAAGTTCAGCAGAATCTCATCATGTGCTAGAAATATTGCCATATCAGAACGTCTGTGCACACGGATATTGCGTATAAATGGCAGCTCAGTAGCTTGCATTTATGCACTACCAACTGTTTTTGTAGCCACAAACATGCTCCTGATCCACCTGAAGAACAGAAACACTCCTGCAATAATCAACTTGTAAAACACTGCAGCAGTTGAACAAGGCAGTTCCTGCAATAATTAATTTATAAAACACTGCCACAGTCACACCAGGCAGTCACATGCTGATCTTAATGCTGGGGTGGCATCGCCAGCTAGCTTAGTCTTATACCAACCTGGACATCAGAATGATAATTCTCACAGGATCCTTGGCAATGGTAATGATGAACATAGCCAGAGGTGGTCCAAATGCCAGAAGGCCACATCCAAAGAACTCCATCACAGTCATGACTGCAAATAGGCTTCCTGAAAGAGAAAGAAAAGACAATGAGTAAACATTCATGCACTTAATGAATAGCTTGACATTCCTGTAAGCCTCATATGCATTTGCAGAATGGCAAGTGTCTCGGGAACAGCACATTTAGATGTGACACATCACTGATATTGTGAATAATTATTTCACAAAATAAGTTAGTGGGCTGAGTAGTAAAAAACAATGCAGCCTCCCAACAAAATGTGCCAAAAAACAAATTTCTCCTCAAATTTCACCCAACTTCTTTTAAAATTCAGGGTCCAGAGCTCAACTCATGGGGCTGAAGCACACCAACTGAATAACCCCCACCCCCTGAAAAGTGAGCCACACCCTGACAAGGGCAGATCCTTTGAGGGATGAACTGTGGCTCACCCTGACACTTCTCCTTTGAGGGATGAACTGTGGCTCAAATGAGTCAAGGTCTAACAAGTCATCTTACTTTTTTACCAGCAATAAGGTTTTCCTTTCTCACCTACAGAAATGGCCTAAAATGTAATTTCCTTCAGTAAAGCTGCTTACATTTACTTTGCTACAAGATATGTATTCTTCCAACTTGGACCAACTAGGGAAACCATATGGTCAAGTTCCCTTGATGGCTCTGTTAGCCCTAGCCTCTCCCCCAAGGTCCAACCTCATTCCCAGGCAAGGAGGGTGAATGATCAGGCCAAGTAAGCCAAGGCATAAGATTTTCAAGCACCAAGGATGTGTGTACCTTAAAGTGTTTTACAGAAATGACTCCCCATTATTAATTAATGACTTCCCTCTTCACTGCAGATTAAATTTCATATTCAGATAGGGGCTCCAGCTAACAAAGTTTGCTAGTTGATCAGATCCATGGGAAGCACACTGGTGTATCTTTAGCCAGGAGAAACTTTTTTCCTTACTCAGAAGCAGAACTGATTTTATAATACTTGAACAGTCTGTTGCACACCTACTCCAGGAGCTTGGCCATTCACCTCTTTGATAGAAGTACCAAAACAGTATTCCAAAAATCATCAAGCAGGTTGCGCAGGATGTAAATGTGAATTCATGGTACACAAATCCAGGCTCTTCAGCATTCCCCCCCATGCAGTTGGGCTCTTATCCATTGCCCTTTAACCCTGACCCGGACATCTGACCTACTCTGACATTTGTCAAGTCTGACATCCCTAGACACTGGTTTGACAGCTGCTCAGTTCAATACTGACTGGCTGATTTTGAGCAAGGTGGGGGCCACAGGCAGTGAGCCCAAAGCCAGGGTATTACAGCATGAACAAAGATAAACATCCCTGCCACCCAACTGGCCAAATATTAGAACACTGTATCCAGGGCATCATTACCTACTTTGTGAATGACTCTCTCAAGCCAAACTTTGAAAAAAATCATTACACAATACATGCTGTCTGCATGCCTATCAGCAATATTGTTTTCAACAAATGGTGCTGCTGCAAAGAAAAGTTCGGAAAATCCTACTGAGCACTTTGAGATGCACAATAAATTCGAAAATTCAGCGCAATTTGGCCTGGGCAGAATTCATTGCATGTAAGGGCGAGTTTTGCGGCCTGCGCTATCGACACCGCCCAGCGCACCAGCGTTCTGAACGCGTCCGGCGCAGATGCTGGATTTATCGCTGCTTGCAGTTCAGGGCCCATCCCAGCATGACAACCATTACGATACAAATCAGGGACATTAACTGATATAATCCACTACGCACCTCACAAGCCGCGTCGAATCCTCACCACCGCCCCTATTCCACGCGGCTACCGCCCAGACTGCGTCACCGCGGCCGTAGTGCCATGGGTATTTCGCTAAATCAGGGCAAGCGCGATAAGGTAGCGTTTGTTTCCAAGTCGCTTGAAACTTTTCTTGACGAAATGTCAAAAACATCCTCGGGAATATTTAGTACGAAATCTTCCTAACAGGGAACGGTATTTAGTACCGATTCGTACTAAAACCGGCGATGTTTAGTACACATATATACTAAACAATACAGCCCGGTAAACCAACGCTGAACAGAGGAAATAAGGCTAATTAGAGGTGAACATCATGACTTTCGTTTTGTTCGACGAGAGTGGGAAACCTTCACCACTTTGGGATCCCAATTCTCATTTGATTGCGAGTTGCTCCTGGGACGCAGCAGGGTCGGTCGGTCGGTGATCGGTGGGAGGCATGGGGAAGCGGTTAAGAAACATGCCTGGAGAAACTCTTGCACGTAGTTTACAGGACAATGTTATCTACAGGCTGAGTATGATATTGATGTATCCTGGACTACAGGGCCTGGGGAAAGATTGGCATCCGGCAGTGCGGAGAATAGGATACTAGTCTCGAGATGTAGCGGTTAGCACCAGACTTGGGTTTAACTCAAATGTCTTGAGTTAGCTCCGGACTGGCTGACGTATTGTGGAACCTGGTCCAGTTTGTAACTCAGCCCTCCCATTTTCCAGAGTACTACTGAAAGTACCCATAAGATTGCTTATGTTCAAAACAAGCCAATTCCATTACGCTGCGGGGCCCCCGCTTCACGAAACTAGATCACAGTGCATGTCTGGCACTGGTAATTATCTGGGACCGGCCACCCATCTCCAATATCATGATATCAACATGAAGCGCCCCTCTCGTCACAATGGGCCGAGCACATTGCAAGCAATAATGGGCATATTGGAGAGCCGGTTGTAAGCCTTCAGGCTTCGTTGCGTATGTATGACAGGAAAGAAACGTTTTCCCATAGTGCTACGTGAAAGTTAGTTTTTGACTGCAGCTCGGTCCATAACTGAACTATTTCAAACGTTTTAAAAAATTAGACTCTAGCGTCTCGCATATTTACGTATTCAGAGGAGAAGATCCCTTGACCAACAGCCTTTCCCTGCTAACTTAAATTAATCTTCAACACGCATTACGTATTATATCTACGTATTAAGAAGAGAAGATCCGTTGACCAGGAGCCCTCCCCTGCTAACTTAAATTAAGGTTCAACCCTACGTTTCAACAGAAGCCTATATACGAATGAACAGAGATAAGATATCATATCGGCTTGCTGATTCCGGTCCCCAAAACTTTGTATTCATAATGGATCGAACTAGTACTATGGTTAATTTCATGACCATAGCTTAACCGGAATTGACATGAAGGGGCATTTTAAATTGAGGATGAATGTACCGCGTCGACTTTCCGAGCGAGAACAAATTCACCGCCGAGAAGGATAAAATCATCACCTTTGTGTTAACTCTCAAGATCAGATGCCGGCAAAACACAAAATTCGCGTACAATGGTCATCTGAAGCGTTTATTCTGAAAAATTATGATCACGGTCGTTCCTGGACGTCTATTCTGGAATGATGTGCCTTGTCTTGCACAATCTACCTCGAAAAAATGATTTGGAAATTAGCCTATTGGTTAAGCAACATTCATGGTCCCAAAATTGCTTTAAAATGGAATGAGGCGATCAGAGCCATATTTCTGGAAGTTGACTCATCATGTTACGTGCATGACATTGTGTGACAAAAGGTAAAGCACGATAATACACTCACATGCTTTGTTGTGGTAGATTTCACATTCTGACATTAGTCAGAACTGTTGGAGGCATTTTATGCGTGTTTTATAGGTCTTTTGAACATCGTAAAGCAAATCATCCAACATTTCTAGTCATGTTTCTTACAAAAGATAGCGTTTTGTACTGTCCTTTGATTGAAACCACTTGCGTCATTCCATCTAATAAAAAGCCGAGTTAAGACGTAAATCATACCTTGTCACTTGATATCAAAATATACCATGCAACGCGAAAAATGCGTTGATTTCCACTTACCGTCAATGATTTGCCACACATTTTGACGGACTGCAAGAAGTCGGTTGTGAAAAGTAAGTGGCACGTCGACGGTTTAAGCTAGGTGGGGTTGCATTAGTAGGGTAGCACAAACAGGCCAATTTTTGACGTTCAGGTGCGAAAATGAAAAGCAGCGAGACTTGTGCCACATGGTAAGATTTCAAGAGGAAATTACTTTTTTCGTTTTCTTTTCTATTGTGTTGGAAGCTTTTAAAGTGTTTTTATAATGTTAGAAGTCGAAGTCATCGGCTGATTAGAGAAACACGTGCTCCAAATATTCCACCTGAAGTGTTTAGCATCTAAACAGGTCTACGGAACTCCGACATACAGTGCTTTTAGCCGTGCATTTGAGGAAAATGAAATGTCACGTGATGTAGAAAGCGACGAACAATATCATACCAGTTGCCATTATATTAAGCGTAAACTTAAAGCAAAACAAGCCAATTACATTTCCGGCGATCTCTGCACCTTCAGTTCGACATTACTATATGATGCGATATAACTTGTTGCTGTGTTTCGTAAGAAACATAGACATTGCTCGCATTTATCAGCTACCATGAACCTCAAGTGATTGTCTCGTTCCAAAACTGAGTTAACCAAGAAACAACATTAAAAGAGACTTTACCAAAAAAGGCAAGCAGCTTTAAAAAAATCCTTTGATTGCTACTTGTCGACACGCAGCTAGCACATATTTGGACGGGCTGCTCAGCACTGTTCGTTAATCGTTGTTTCATTCTCAACGTATTGATCCATAGGCTGACAAAGTTGGTCGTTGAGAAAAGTTGGAGAGTAAAGTTGAAGTTGTGTAAAAATTGAGAAGTTGTAAAAAATGGTACAGTTATGACTAACTTGAAACAAAAGCATCACGCTTCTGTGTACGTTAGGATAAATCATAGGTAATTATCGTCGTCACTGTTGCTTTACGACTCATTCAGCTGCTGAGACTATATGGGGTCACCGGCCTCTCACCCTGGCAGGAAGGGCGGGCGCCGCGGTGACTCGAACCCCGTACCTCTGGTTTCTCGGACGCGCAGGAACTTACCAGTTGCGCTTACCACTGCGCTTTCGGCACTCACAGATAGCGCATATGGGATGAGAAAGCTGCACCGACCTTTCCAGCGATTGTCAAGATCTTGCAATAGCTCTAAAATTCAGCGAGTCGCCACAGAAAATTGGGTTTCCAAAAGCAAAGCCGGTGTTAAGTCTACGAGACTACAAATGATAAAGTGATTTTTATTAGTGCGTTTCAGCAGCATAGCAGGCATTGGCACTGACGTAAAATACAACCCAATACACGAACCTGGTAACATGATTTACAGAGCTCCGCAACTTTTCTTTAAACAACAGAAAAGTGTGATTAAACTTTTTACCTTTGCCTGATGTCTTTTCTATGAAAGTACGCCACTACTTAACTCCTAATCTCCGGGATTATTATTCCAAGTTCATTTGCAATTAAAGAAGAGTTTACGAATGCCGAACGAAATTAATCAAGCCTTTCAAGCTGAGATGTAGTGGAAACATGCTGGGATGAACTGGCACGAATATGAACACATCAGACGTGTTCATCTTCCCGAACATTTGATAAACACCCCATTGGACGTTTAAGGCCGCAAAATTCATCAATCTTTAATGAACCGATGCGCAAAAAAACGCGTTTGCGCAAAATTTGTTGCGAATCGGTCCACAATTTATAGAAGAAACGAATGTTAGGTCTAATTGGTACGATTTGACAGGATCTGACCTATCATCAAAGAAAACTTTAACCCCGAAATCATTCCCACTGCATCCGTCTGGCAGTCATGCTGTTCATGGCGTTTGGCCAACGCACGGGGGCTGAGGCGATCGTTCCAGGCACGGCGGCCTGTGCAGCTCCCCCGCCTTGCGCAGCGAAGGGCTAGGGAGGCCTGTCGTAACCGAGGAGATCATCCCCCACCCTACCTGATCTGGCGAGGGCGGTCAGATGCTTTAAAACGCCGCTGGCCTAAATTCGACCAGGACTGAGCCTCAAGCCTTAGCATGGGGCACCACGAAGAACTTCAATCAGCTAGGATGGTTCCTTAACAGAAGACCATCTATCGCTCCGCTGTGACCGTGGCATCCATCGCTGGTTAACGTGTAAACGCATTATTACTGGTGGCACTATTAGCGCGCATTATTCTGCCCTTCTGCAAAAGAAGGCTGCTGGTACTGCGGTTGTTTCCATGCATCCCTAAAATGGGAGCTTTTACGCGACTATCGCTTCTTCGGAAAGCCGGTTTGTTCAGGGTTTTGAGCTGATATGTGTGGAATGTGTTCTGCTAGCAATGCGGCTCCCGGTAAATGGAGCGACTTTGCTTAAAATATGCCCTCGGCAGGTGGACCTAGTTCAAGAGGATCGCTGCCAAAGCCACCGGCGGACAATGCGCGTGTTCACGTTGCTCGCGATTCTTGTATGCATTTCCATCAAATCAAAAGAAGGGCTCCTAATCCTCGCCCTGGTTCGCCGCTTTCCTAACGCGGACTTACGGGCGGAGGATGCGACCTCACTCGCATGTCCAATCAGAATTGGCGAAAAAACACCAGTGGTTTGGTCTTAACAAAATCTCGCGTTTTGGTGATAGTTTTAAGCTGTTTTTTATCATTGAGCCCATTATGGCACGTCAAAGGTAGAACTTCCCAGAAAATCGCACCTTTCCATCTTTGCAGCATTATGTATACAATGAAGTTTTTTTGCAGCGCCAAAAACCTTAACAGACGTGTATCTTGTTCCATTTTGAGTACATTGGTGTATTCGTTATGTGTTTTGAGCATACAGTTACGATATATCGCTATGTCAATGGGACACTGTCGTTCCGCCGCGTGCGTTCCACGGCATCATCGGTTGTTGACCGTCATACGCGTCGGCCGTATATCGCCGTGCAGTAAAATTTGGTATCGTCGTGAGCCGGCGCGTGACATCACAGGTTACGTGACTTTGTGGTCACGTGACGTGACGTTGGGA